AGCGTTCGTCTTACCGTCGCTGTTTCTAAGCTAGGGACATCCTTTATAAAGCAATTTTACCCAACAAAAAACTAATTTACTGATTAGTCCCTATGTTCGAAATGTCGATTTCTACTAATTCCTTGTTTTCAAAATTACTCTATGTGGGCTTAACATAATCCATTCTCTAAACTCTAACAGAACTCCGCTCTCGGCAATGGTTTCTTGTTTTACTCGATTTGTTACATTCTCTGATGTAGTTCTCAGCGAACAACAAATAATTCAAGAAAATTCATCGCTAAAAACAAAATACAAATAGAACAAGTAATGCACAGTATGAGCGTCGACCAGAACAAGTTCACTCGAATATTCTGGAAAGACAAAGTTGGACATTTAAAATATGAGCATGCTTTAACAGAGGGGACATTTGCAATGAAGAGGATTCAGCATTGTCTCGGTTAGGCGCAACAAAGAGACAGCAATGAGATATCGCCTATCTCTGGGGACACCGCGACAATCTCTGACGTTGACATAACCCTTCTTTCAAGAAAAGCTGGGGAAGCATGAAATGAGTAAGATGAATAGAAAATGGAACAATTCACATGATCAGAAAAGACACATATCCCCAATGGCAGTGTTAAAACCTGAAGTACAGAAAGATACATTAAGTGAAAACGAATAATTAAGCACATAAGGTAATACACGTAATTTTGAAAATTCGATCATAATTTAGATGACACGTAATTGAAGTTACAAGCTATTGAATGCGTGGAATAGTCTCCCACTGATTGCGTGAAACAGCTCTAAAAAAGTAGAATCAACATTTTGAAAACTTATCCCTAAGATAAAAGATAAGCAAATTATAGCTGACACCTAATACAACGTACAACTTTAACCCTATTAAACGGAAATAGGGCTGAGCACACTTTAAAAATTATGTGCTCACATTATTCATCTGCCTCATGTTCAATAGTAAATATTATGAATTCATTCAGGACATTTCGCAAATTGGGTTAGAAAATTTGATCGTTCGCCAGTGCAATTGCACAGGGAACACCAGATACAAGAGTAAGAACGTGAAAACAGCTAAACAGGCGGATGACTGGATATTGCAACTAACCCGTCATTTGCTCTGTTTGAATATGAAGATATCGTGGAGGTTTTGGAAATTTACTAGTTCAGCTGGAGTATTTAATAACTCTTAAAGTGCTTATAACACATGGTGTAGAGAAGACGCTCAATAAAATGAGTTGTTTGAACAAAAAATTTCAATCAGGCCAAAAAGAGGCTCTGCTGGAGCGAAATCAGAACAACAGTTTTTATTCACTGAAGAACAGATAAAGATAAACCTTCGCACATTTTCTCCTATTTTTAAGCTATTTCCTACAAATAAGGTGATGCGAAGCCTCTAATTAATGCTTGCTCTGTCATATCCGAAGATGGTTTCAAAATGCAATTTACAAATTCGAAATAAAACATGCTTTACATCTATTAACTAATTTTACATTTAAGAATAGTAGGGGTTCGTGACAGTCGGTAGAACATTGAGTATAAATTTATTTTTTAAGTACACATTCTTTGCGAACCATTCGAAAACCTTCCTATCAACTAGTCGCACGTAACTTTGCTTTTGTTTGTACATTTCCCTCGTTTAAATTGAACTGTTTCCACAAGTAAATTTGAATTGGAGCTCAAGATTATCTGTTTGGTTATTCAGTATTTGTACCTCATTTAAAACAGCTTTATATCACAACATCACATAGAACATGCAAAACTCATGTTGTCCTCTATCCTTGGTGTTACTCTACGAATAATACTAAAGATAGTATAGGACAGCATGAGTTTTGCATAAGCAGACAAATTCAATGCCGCCATACTATTCGTTTCCTGCACTACATTTTAACACTACTACTTCAAAGAAAACAACGTTAACAAAGCTGTTGTAATTAAAAGCAAAACAAAAACTTTGTTCGTTCCTTTTCTAATAAGTAGACGGACAGCTGAGAAACTGGGCCTCCTTGGAAAAAAATGAGAGCTTTTGCTTACCTCTAGTTCTCTACCAAACATCATCAGCTATCTCATCCGGAATATCATCTGCGTCCAAAAATCCAAATAGACGTCTTGGAAATATCCCAAAATTTTGAACAAATTCAACTGCAGGCCATTCTGCACCTATTGCACCATGATCCTCGCGCAGATGACCGTAGACTTTTGATTGTGTATCACTCTAAAAGTGGGCTTAACACAATGATCGAAAGTAAGAGCTTCTCAGATACTTACCATGAAGTCGCATAACCAACAGAAGTGGATTTTGCACATTGAACATTGCATGTGGAAACATCCTTCGCCTTTCTCAATTACTGCCCCGCAGCCTTTAGCTGGACATTCTCGTACTTTGCCCTCGTTCTTACTAATGTACGCTTTCAAAGAAGCTGCCCCATCAGCTGTAGATAACCGATATATGTGAAAACATGAAGATTAGAAAATTCATTAAAAAAAGAGTACAAACTGACTTCTAAGCGCTGCATATTCTTCACAAGTCAAGCCTTTGTGTGGTTCCGTCAAACAGCCACGGCATCTCTCTTTGTTACAGGAGTCACATCGGAATATACCAGACTTCGCAGTA